GGGGGCTGGGCAGCTGAGCCATGGCCCCTGCCATTTCTCCATCTCTTCCCCTCTTCCCCCTGCTCTTGTCTCTCGGCCTCTGCAGGTGAGGAGCAGCCTGGGCACCAACATCCTCAGCGCCATGGCGGCCTTTGCTGGGACGGCCATCCTGCTCATGGATTTTGGCGTAACTAACTGGGTGCATTGTCAGATGGCCCCAGGGGTGGGAAAACTGTGTCCAGGAGGGCAAAGGGTGAGCGTCTGCAGCATCAGGACAGGGGCAGGGCCTGCCAGTCACTATAGACCTCAAGAATCCATGGACCCTCTGAGCCTTCCCCAAGATGGGCACCAGAAGGAACAAGGAGGCAGCCTGGAGGGTGAAGGGGAGGGTGCAGGATGGGTGGCAGGGGGACTGGCTCCAGGCATAGCTCTGCCACCAACAAGCTGTGTGACCTTGGGCAAGTGATTCTCACGCAGGGGACCTCCTTACTCTAGAACTCTGGGCTCACCTTTCTGTGGGTTTTGGCCCCCAGGACGTGGGCAGGGGCTATCTGGGCATGCTGACTGTCTTCCCCATCTGGGAGTTCTTTGTCACAGTCATTGTCACCCACTTCGGGTGCCAGGCCACTCGTGCCCAGGCCAACGCAGTGAGCGCCCCCACCCACATCCACTAAACCTGAGCCTCTGGAAGGCAGTTGGCTGGGCACATGCTCTGCCTCCAGCTCCCTCCCTCTGCCCTCTGGGAAGGCATATGGAGAGACAGCACTAGGAGGGGTGTCCCATCCATGTCAGGGGGGCCAAAGAAGTCTTTGGGCTGGGTATGGTGACTCACACCTGTGATCCCAGCACTTTGGGAAACAAGACAGGAGGATCTCTTGAGCCCAGGAGATCTCTTATGAGCTTGGGCAATATAAAAAGGTCCTATCGCTGCAAAAAAAAAAAAAATGTTTTTAATTAGCCAGGTGTGGTGGTACGCACCTGTAGTCCTTGCTAGTCGGGAGGCTGAGGCAGGAGGATCGCTTGAGCCCAGGAGGTTGAGGTGGCAGTGAGCTATGATCACAGCACTGCCCTTCAGCCTGGGTGACAGAGCGAGACTGTCTCTAAAACCAAAGCAAAACCAAAGACATCTTTGCAGTTCAGCGAAGACAGCCGTGTTCGCCTCAAAGCACAGGGTGGCGCCAGCATCCACGGAGCCACTGCTGTGTGCAGCCCCACAGGGAGCCCTGCAGATGGAAGGCCTAGGCTCGGGGTGTGGGGGCAGTGCTGCTCTCAGAGGAGTGGGACTTTTTGGAGTTCCCAGGCCACGTGGGAGACGGGGGCATCAGGGAGGGCAGCATGACAGAGATGGAAATTAAGCTTTAATTTCCAAAAAAAATGGAGTACAGTTATGATGGAAAGGGGCAGGAGGGAGCGTTCAAGGCAGGGGAACCAGCTGAAGCAAAGGCTGTCTCAGGCAGGCAAATGCAGGCCACAGGGTGGGGTGTTCTTGGCAGGTGCATGATGGGGTACATTGAGGGTAGGGGGGCTGAAGGCCTGAGCAGGGGAGTGAGCTGGCTCAGGGAAATCAGTCCAGAGGATCTGTCCAGCGCCGGGAAGTAGAGGGGTTCAAGGCCAAAGCCACGGTGCCAGCAAGAGAGCGCAAAGTCCTGAACCAGGCCAGGGCAGCTGGGAGGGAAGGAACATCAGAACGTTAGCGCCTGGTGAAGTGGGGCTTTTGTCTGTTCTGTTCACTGCTGTCCTCCCAGTGCCTGGATCATAGTTGGCCCCAGTACATGTTGTTTGCACACAGAGCCCTAAGGGTGCAATTCAGACTTGCAGAATTCAGTATCAGGGTGCTGTTCTCAGATGACCCACAAGGGAGCACTATTGTGACACTAGCCTGAAGCTCCAGCGTCCTCCAAGAGCTCAGTGCTGTTTTCTCTGCAGCCAGTGATCTTCCTGCCAAGCGCCTTCAGCGCAGACTTCAACATCCCCAGCCCGGCAGCCTGTCCGCCCCCTGCCTATGACAACATGGCATATGTGCCCAAGGAGGTGTCTGAGTAGCAGATGTGGCACCTGCAGGTGGAGTCCAGCGTTTCCCCTCTGGGGCCAGCCTCTCCCCACCCCCACCTTGTTCATCAAGGGCCAGCCCCACCTCGGCCACCCCCCACCACCACGTCCACACACACGGCGGCAGAGTGAGGTGTGCCCAGGGACATCCTTCCCACACTTTCCCCAGTGGCTTCTTTCTAAAAGACACCAGGCTGACATCGGGGTGTGTGTCCTTCAGCTCCCCAAGTCCCATCATCCTTCCAGGGACACCCCCTGTGCATTTCTCTGCTCATAGGGGAAATCCTAGCCCTACTGAAGACTCAGGTTCGAGGCCTGCCCTGACCTTCAGGCATCAGGCAGGTCATTAAGCTCAGAGAGCCGAGAATCCTCCAGAATGGAAGAGTCTGACTCTGGCATTCCACAGAGGTGCAGATGCCCCCGAGGCCACACAGCAGGGCAGTGGCCTGACCTCAGGTCCCCTGGCCCCGAGATCAACTCTGTCCTTTGTCATCTGTTGCTACATCCATGGACCTCAGGTTTCCCATTTGGAAACTCGAATGTTGAACCAGATAAGGTTCATAAGGCTCTTCCAGCTCCCCAGGCTCCCTGAGTCCTGGATCTAAGCCAGGCATCATCCCCCTATTCCCTGGAAACCCTCTTTGTCTTTATCTGGCTATGGAGTCAGCATTGCCCCCCCCACCATCTCCCAAGATGGGGGAGGTTGCAGCGGAAGGCTGACGCCAGCCCCCTCCTGAGGCCCACCACAGTCAGCATCGACAGGGGCACAGCAGTGGCAGTTAGAGACTTCCCTGTGCCTCTCAGCACTCCCTTGCCCACCTCCATAGCTCAAAGACAAGGCTACCACAGAAGGTTACCACGAGACCTGGGCTTTGTCTCCAGGGGACGAGGAGACACTGTCAGCCTGGTGTCCACTGGTCCTTGTAAATCAGATGGCTTGTCTCATCCACACCACAGAAGGAAATAAACCATGTGGCTTAAGTTTTGAGCTGGTCTCGTTGCAATAACTTTTTCTTTTTAACCTCAGGGGCTTCTGAGGGTCATCCCACGTTTATCAGAGGACGTGGGTAACTGTCCCACTGTCACAGCAAAAGGGCACCTCTGGGTGCCATGCTCTGTGTGGTGTAATCCTTACACCTCTGTCCCCATCTCAGTTCAAACAAACATGCATTCATATCCCCCCTCCACAACTAAGAACACTGCAGCTTGAAGAGGTTAAATTATATGCCCAAGGCCACCAAGCTAGTAAGGAGCAAAGCTGGGATCTGGGCTGGGCACAGTGGTTCACACCTGTAATCCCAGCACTTTGGGAGGCTGAGGCGAGCGGATCACGAGGTCAGGAGATCAAGACCAGCCTGGCTAACACAGTGAAACTCTGTCTCTACTAAAAATATAAAAAATTAGCCGGGCATGGTGGTACGTGCCTGTAGTCCCAGCTACTCAGGAGGCTGAGGCCGGAAAATCGCTTGAACCTGGCAGGTGGAATTGCAGTGAGCTGAGATCGCACCACTGCACTCCAGCACTCCAGCCTGGGTGACAGAGCGAGACTCCATATCAAACAAAAAATAAATAAAAGCTGAGATCTGCACGTAGTTCCATGTGACATCAGAGTCCATGTTCTCACCACCTGGTCTTCCCTTAGTACAAACCAAAGTGCTTCCCACCAACCCCTTCTCATTCCTTCTGTTTCTTCATCCCCAAAACTAGGACGGGCTGCATTCCTCAGCACACTCACTTCTTCTTCACCCAACAAACTCCTACTCCTCCTTTAAGACCCTATTTAAATGCTGCCCCTTCTGTGCCATCTTCCCAAAGGAGGGGTGGTCCACTAGGTGGCTAGGTGCCATGACCACAACACTGGAATGAGGGTGGGGCAAGGGAGGTGCCATCCAAGGGAACATTCACTCTCAGGGTCCCATCAGTGCAGAGCTGGGGTAAGGGGTACCACAAGGTTTGGCTTTCACAATCAAGAAAGGAGACTCGAGGATTTGGAGCTTAGAGTTTAAGATCATTAAGTATAGAGCCGGAGGAAATGTACTTGAGGATTTAGGACCAGTTTTCTTGCCACATAAAGGAGACTAGAGACGTTTCAGAACTGAGGGGAGAAGCTGGGGGAGAGAGAGAAAAAAAAAGAGAGTGTTTAACCCCAAGCTGGGATTGCTGACCTTTATCCTCTGCTGACCAAATCCCTCGGGAAGTCTGTAGGCCAGAAACCACAGATCCATTAAGAGGAATTAAAGACCACAGGTGCCCAGAGATGTCCCATGTCCAGACAGCGTGGAGCCACAACATAGATACGGCTGGGGACTGTGCCTGGCGACACAGCATCCCACACTCCGGTGTAGTAAATGAGTCCAAGCATGAGAAAGCTTCCTGTTTCCTGAGCTGGCAGGTGGCCAGATATGTAATGTAGATGGTGTGAGACTTTGTAACAAATATGAGCAGCAAATGAGAAGGAGACAGTGGCCACCGCAGAGAGACCAGCAAGAACAGACTGCACCTCAGCAGAGGGTAGCAAGGACAGACGAGGGCTTATGGACTGGAAGTCATTGGAAGTGACTGAGTTATCCTGAATTGGCAAAATTACGTTTTCTGCCAACACTGAGAGTAAATGGGAGGTAGAGAGATAATTTCTGTGAGGAACAATGCTGAGAACTACAAAACGTTACAAGGAGAAATTAACAAAGCTCTAAGTCAATGAAAGGATACCCTGTGTTCATGAATGGAGAAGCTCTAGTTTTTTTAAATGCCATTGATCTCCAAAATTTAGCTGTAAATTCAATATGATTCCATTCAAAATTTTAGGAGTTTATTTTGGGGAACTTGACAAGCTAATTCTAAAATTTATATGGAAATTAAAAAATAGAAGAACACTTTTTTTTTTTTTTTAAAAGACATTTATTCAGCGTCACGATCAGACTATTACATTTAGCAATCAACAGCATGGGTGCAAAAAAAAAAGAAAAAGAAAAAAAATCTACATTAAAACCCTTCCTTGGAATGCTTTACACTTTCCACAGAACAGAAACTAAAATAACCTGTTATACAATTAGTCACAAATACAGCCCTCGAGTTTTTTGCCCATACACATGAGTATTTGTCTAAATCATGTCTTCTGTGTAGCAGCTAGGCCCTGCCACCACTGTGCTTGGCTGAGTTCACAAATCTGTTGTAACCTGTAGCTTCCCTGTCACCTCTCTGGCTCTCCTCTCCTGCTAAGCTTTGTTTCCTAATTAAAATCTTCTGCCACTGCTATAGCTACTGCTGCTACTGGAACCACCATAGCCACCTTGGTTTCGTGGTTTGGCAAAGTATTGGCCGCCACCACCATAGGGGCCAGAGCTTCTGCCTCCAAAGTTTCCTCCCTTCATGGGTCCAAAATTTGAAGACTGATTGTTGTAACTGCCAAAATCATTGTAGCTTCCACCACCTCCAAAATTGCCTCCACTACCACCGCCAAAGCCGCCTCCGCCTCCGTTGTTATAGCTGTCATAGCTGCCACTCCCGCCATAGCCACTGCCCTGGTTTCCATAACCCTGTCCACCACTTCCATAGCCTCTGCTTCCTCCAGACTAACCAGGGCCGCCTCCTCCATAACCACCATCATTACCAAATCCATTATAGCCATCCCCACTGCCACCATATCCACCACCACCACGGCTGCCACCAAAGCCACCACGACCACTGAAGTTTCCTCCGCGACCAAAGTTGTCATTCCCACCGAAACCACCTCCACGACCACCACCAAAGTTTCCAGAACCACTTCGACGTCTTTGGCTGGATGAAGCACTAGCCATCTCTTGCTTTGATGGGGCTTTCCTAACTTCACAGTTGTGGCCATTCACAGTATGGTATTTCTGAATGACAATCTTATCCACGGAGTCATGGTCATCAAAGGTTACAAAAGCAAAGCCCCTTTTCTTGCCACTGCCTCTGTCAGTCATGATTTCAATCACTTCAATTTTTCCATACTGTTCAAAATAATCTCTTAGGTGATGTTCTTCAGTGTCTTCTTTAATGCCGCCAACGAATATTTTTTTCAGTTAAGTGGGCACCTGGTCTTTGAGAATCTTCTTTTGAGACAGCTCTCTTTGGTTCCACAACTCTTCCATCCACTTTGTGTGGCCTTGCGTTCATGGCTGCAGCCACTTCCTCCACAGTTGCATACGTGACGAACCCAAAGCCCCTGGAGCGCTTGGTGTTTGGATCTCTCATTACCACACAGTCTGTGAGCGTTCCTCATTGCTCAAAATGGCTCCTCAGGCTCTCATCGGTTGTTTCAAAGCTCAACCCTCCAATGAAGAGCTTCCTCAGCTGTTCCGGCTCTTTAGGAGACTCTGACTTAGACATGATCGCAGGGAGAAGAGAGACTTTAACGATGCTTCTTCGGCGGCGTCCACGGGCAAAAAGGAGCAAACTGACAAACGTATCTCAGAAGAACACTTAAAGACAAAGTTGGAGGATTTAAACTACCTGATTTCAAGATTTACTACAAAGCAACAATTTAGACATCATTTTAGTGCAAAAACGGACAAAAAGACCCATGGAATGAAATAGACAGCTCAGAAACAGACCCTCACATATGGTCCCTTGATCGATGACAAAGGCACCCACAATTAAGTGGATAAATGACATTCTTTTTCATCAACGGTCCTGAAGCAATTATATATTGATATAGAAGAAAAAGGACCATAATTCCTACCCCACACCATACATAAAAATTAATTCAGCATGAGTCACAGACCTAAATTTTATAAAAAAACAAGCTTCTGAAAGAAAACATAGGAAAATATTATTTGGAGATAAGCAAAGATTTACTAAACTAGAAATGCAAAACACACTAACAATAAAAGACAATACTAATAAATTAGTTTATTAAAAATTAAGACCTCTGTTTATCAAAAATCACATCATAAGTGTCAAAATGCACAACATATACTGGGAGGAAATTTTGAAATACATCATATGTGACATGGGTCTCATGTGCAGAAAGTGCAAATAACTCCTAAAAATAAATAAGTAAGCCAGGCGCAGTGGCTCACGCCTGTAATCCCAACACTTTAGTAGGCCAAACCGGCCGGATCGCCTGAGTCAGGAGTTCAAGACCAGCCTGGGCAACATGGTGAAACCTTGGCTCTACTAAAAATACAAAAATTAGCTGAGCATGGTGGCATGCACCTGTAATCCCAGCTACTTGGGAGGCTGAGGCAGGAGAATCACTTGAACCTGGGGGGCAGAGGTTGTAATGAACCGAGATTACGTCACTGCCTGGGCAACAGAGTGAGACTCTGTCTCTAAATAAATAAAATAAAACAAAATAAAATAGAGCTCAATTTAAAATGGGCAAAGAACTTGAGCAGACATTTCACAAAAGAGGATATAAAAATGGCCAATAAATGTGTTCAACATCATTAGACCTTAGAGAAATACAAATTAAAACTACAATGAGATACCACAACACACCAGAATTGCTAAAATTTTTAAAAGACTGACTTATACAAGTGTTGATTAGGCTGGGAAGCTAATCTTCTTACACATTGCTGGTGGGAGTAAAAATTGATACTACCACTTTGGAAAAAAATGTTTGGCAATATCCACTAAAGCTAAACATACACATTCGGTATCACCCAAGAGTTTTATTCCTGGATATAGACCCAACAGAAATGAGAAAGTTTTCACTAGAAGACATATACAAGAGATTTGGATGACAGCTTTATTCGTAACAGGCAAACACTTGAAACAACTCAAATGTCCATCAACCATAGAGGTAAATAAACTGTTCTATATTCACTAAAAAGGAATAAATAAAAAGAACAAACACTGATACATCTAACACATGGGTGGATCTCCATGTGAAAGAAGACAGACACCAAAGGGCACATCCTGCGTTATTCCACTGATAGGAATTTCAAGAACGGCTTACATAAACTAATGGTGGTAGATGTCAGCACAGTTGTTGGCCCTTGGGAGCAGCAGGGGAGGGGAGCGTGACATAGTCTCCAGGGCAGTGCAGATCTCCATATCTTGACCTGAGTTATGGCTGCATGGGTGTAGACATAGATAAAAATTAACCAAATTGGACACACCTATGCACTTTACTGTCTGTAATTGCCTCCGATTTTTTTTAAGTGGTAAAAAAATAAAAATAAAAAGTTACTGTATTCGCTATTTCTGCACCATAAATGACCACAAACTTAATGGCTTAAAGCTGCATGCATATATATTACCTCACAGTTTCTGTGGTCCTATCCAGGTGCATCTTGGTTGGGTCCTCTGCTTAGGGCTTCATAAAGCTGCACTCAAGATGGCAGCTGGGCTGCACTCTTATCTGGAGACTCCAATGGGGAAGAATCCACTTCCAAGCTCACTCAGGTTGATGGCAGAATTCATTTCTTTGAAACTCTGGGACTGAGGGCCATAGCTTCTTTCTGACTGTCATTACCCTCAGCCCCTAGAGGCTGTTCTAAGCTCCTTGCCTTGGGAGCCTCATAACATGGACATTGACTTCTTTGAAACCAGCTGGGGAGAGAGCCCTGTAGCAAGCTGGCCAGCAGGATAAAGACTTAAATAACAACATAATTGCGGAAGTGCCATCCCATCACCTTTGCCTCAGGCTGTTGGTTAGAAGCAAGTCACAGGTGCTAGCCGAGCTCAAAGGGAAGGGTTATTGGGACCACCTTAGCATTTGTCTGCCTCAGTTACAGTTCTGCTCATTTAAATTTGTAATTGTAAAATGCAAATTCAATGTATTTAATTCCCAGTGTAAAAAGCCCTATCGTTACCCCCTAAATCCCTTCAGCTGTAGGTTAATTTTCCTCCTCGCCTTTATTTTCCTCACTCCCATCCACCCCACTGAAATCACTCTCTCTAAGGTTATTGCATTGACCTTGTCACCAAAATCAATGGGCTTTTTAAAATTCTTGTTTTAGTAATAGCTCCTTCCATTTCTTAAATGTTGCCTACCCTTATACTTTCCTCTCTGTACGCTATGGACTCTCTATGTGATCTCATCCACCACTTCAGCTTCGTTTAACCTTTTATTCAGCAAGTGCTAACTGGGCACCTGGTGTATGAGCAGGCTCTGGAGACACCAGACACCAGCCAAGAACCCTGTTCTTACGGAGCTCACATTAGCCATCTATCACGTCTTCTACCCAGACTCTTTTGCTGAGACAGCCTCAGCATCTACTTTCACGTCTCACCAAAAGGAATTTACGTCTTCCCTTCCAACTCAGACCATTTCCCCTCCTGTGTTCCTGATGTCAACTCACATTCCTGTAGACCTTGGGCCAGCCAGGCCTGAACCCCAGCATCATTCTTGGTTTCCCCCCTCTCTAAGCCACACAGAATCACCCCGCACTGATTCTCCTTGCTCTGATTTCTCAACTGGGTCTACTCTCCTCATCCTCCTCCTTTGAGCCACATCACCCCTCACCCGTGTGGGGCATCAGCCTCCTAAGCTCCTAACCTCGTCCCCAGCTCTGAGCTTGCCCCATGCATCTCCTGACTAGATGACAGCCAGAGGGGTTTTTCTAAAGTACAAGTTATCGTGTTCCTGTTCTGCCTAAAGATACTCTGGCTTTCCTTTGACCTTGAGCTAAAGTTCGAATGCTCTAGGAAGGCTTTTGATCGGCAAAGCCCTGGAGAGGTAGCTGCTCACCTTTCCAGCCCCAATCCTCCCCATCCTCCTCTTACACTTGACCCAGAGCCATCCTGAGCCTCTGTGAGCTCCATCTGCCTAGGAAGGCTGCCCTCTGCCTGCTTCCCACCCTCCTATTTGTCCCGCTTACCTCCCACCCCCTTCGATCTTCATTTAGATACCACTTCCTCCAGGAAGCCTTATCTGGCCTCATCCCCTCCCCAGCCCTTTGGAGTAGGGGACCTCCTCCAGAATCTCACCACACCCACACCTCAGTATCATTACCTGTCCACAGCACAGTTACCTGTCTCCCTGTTTATCTTATTCAATGGACTTTGTACAAGTATTGATCGACTTACGCCCTATGCAACTTACGACCTTTCGACTTTACGACCACAATCGCTAGCCACGACTGCTCCGCTGTAGATTTTTGGAAACACTTCAACATTTTGATGTGTATCAAGAATATCGCTACCGCCTGGGAGGCTGTGACAACAAAGTGCATGAATAGCATCTGGAAAAATTGTGTTAAGTGCTATGTTAATGATTTTGACATTTTTGACAGTGAACATGAACTTGAAATGATTCAGGAAAAAATAGTAAAACTCGCTAAAGACCTTTCTCTGGAGTGTGAAATAGAAGATGTCGAAGAGTTGCTAGACAAAGAATCTGGAGAACTTACAAATGAAGAGCTAATCAAACTGGAAGAAGAAAGAGTGGCAGAAGAAGAAAGAAGAGAACAGAGAAAGAAGAGGAGGAGCCAGAAAGAAAGTTCACCACTAAGGGATTATCAGACATTTTATCTTTACTGAATAAACGTCTTATACATTTCGAAGCAATGGACCCAAACATCGAACGATTTGCAAGGATTGAATGGATGGCGCACGATGTGTTTTGTCCGTATCGTGAAATTTATGAGAAAAAAAGAAACATACAATTCAGACAAAGCTCACCATGTTTATGAAAAAACCAACTCCGGTAACCCCAACCGCTGCCTCAGATGACAATATCAACGATCCACAGCCAAGCACCAGTGGCCAATAAAATGTTTCGTACATGTTTATATATTTTGATATATTTTGCAATTGGGAAAATGTTTCCTATGGTATTTTTCACACCTGTATTTTGTATTTTTGTATGCACCTGTATTTTGTAATTTTGTATGTTTTCCAAATATTAAACCAGTTGTACTGGTAATGCAGTGTTTTACTTAAACCTGATGAATGCAAAAATAAGAAACAAAATGGTGTAGAGATGATACAAATGGCATAAAATGAACAAAGAAAATTATGATATATAATAATGAAAGAAAATTATGATAAAATATGACTTAAAGATTTTTATAACATCATTTCACAGTACTGTACATATAGCCTACTCAACTTACGACCAAATCGTGTTACGACCGGTCTGTCGGAACCAATCGTGGTCGTAAGTCGAGCACTAGCTGTATTCATTCCCTAGTGCTGCTGTGACAAATCACCATGAACTTAGTGGTTTAATGTAACACAGACTTATTATTAGACGGTTCTGAGGTTGGAGGTCCCAAAATCCAGGTGTCGGCAGGGCTCAGTTCCTTCCGGAGGCTCCAGGGAGATCCCATTTCCTTGCCTTTTCCAGCTTCTAGAGGCCATCTGCCTTCCTTGGCCTGGGGCCTTGCCCTCCACCTGCCAAGCTTTTCCACTAAGTGACCCTCTTGCCTCCCCCTTGGGATCACACTGGGCCCACTGGATGATCTCTACCTATCAACCACTTTGACCTAAGCACATCTGCAAAGCCTTTTTGCTGCATAAGGTA